GTCATAGAGTAAAAAAAATATGAAATAAAATTTAGTAAAAACCACTCGCTGACTGAAAGCGTGGTGAAAAATTATTCGATAACTGAAATGACTATTATAAAATAGAGATTTATGGAAGGAGGGTGAAAAATCAGAGTTAAAAGAATTTTGATTACAAAATTTAAAATTAAACTTAGGAGTGGACAATCCTTGATGAAATTAAATAGTTTTTCAAAATAAAAACATTTTCATGTATTTTTCCATTTCAAATTTTAGAAAATTAAGATTAAGAAAGGTCTCAAAATTAAAAAAAACTATTAGGTGTAGACAATCCTTGATAAAATCAGATAGTATTCTGAAGTAAAAAGAGTTGTATGTATTTTTCAGTTCCACATTAAGGAAATAAAATAATAAAATTGACGACGAAATTAAAATTAAGAAATTAAAATAAGTATTAGGATTAGACATGCCTTAATGAAAATAATGTAAGATTTAAGCTTTTTCTTTAAGCTCAAAAATTTGAACTAAAATTATGTCAGAAATATTCAATGACTGGAAGCGGGATAAATAATGATTGAAAATAAATTAGGGGTTTGTGACAAAAAAGTTAAAATTTAGGGTTGTATGCATTTTTTGCAGCGACAGTATGAAAAAATACAAACAGTATAAAAAAAATTGTCCAAAAATTAAAATAAAAAATTAAATGTTAACAACCCTTATCACTTAGGGGCATGAAAAATAGATAGTAGCTGATTCTCAGACCTATTAAATACACATATAAACTTTTGTAAAAATCGGTGAAGCTGTTTCGGAGAATTATAATGGAAATTTTCCATATTAAATTCTGGATACATGTTGATTTAATCGTGTTCTAGTCAATTTGAGATTAAACAATGATTTCTTATTATTAGGTTCGAATTCCTACAAATAAAAAAATTATTGGATTTTGATTCGAAATTCAAAAATTACTGAATTAATAAAAAGCGCAATAATAATATATCAAAATCTTAAATCAAATGTGCCGATTCAATTTAAATAAAATCAGTTTCAGATTAGAGGTTGGCTCTGGCAAAGACTATTAAGGGACATTAAGACAAAATGCCAGTAATAAACAATTTGATATGAAGAAATATTAACAATTGCAAATATTTTATACATACCATGATTCTAAATTCAATTCAAATCAGCATTGATTTTAGTGATAAAAAATTCTTACCAACTATTTACATATATGGAGATTGAGATATTTCTCTATTTCGATTAATAAACTTTGCGTGGATTTGTATATATTTTCGATATATTCTGATTTCAAATCTAGTTTTAGTCAGAACAGATTTTAACAATAATCACGTATCAAATCCATCCAAGCATCCAATCTTCTCTACTATAGACATGGTTAATCAAAATGTTATCCCGAGGGACATTATAGTATTCATGACTTCGACACGGCTTTGACCGCACCTGTAGAAGGACTTTGCTAAGATTTTCTTCGGATTCAGATTTATATTTTGATACATAACAATATACAAAAAAAATCACCGACATTATAATTAAAACTAGGCATAAGTGAAAGAAATAAGTGGCCTGAAATTCCACCTCAAATGATTTTAGATCCATGTTACCAACTCTCTTTATAACTATACATTTCTAATTTGCTTTATAATTTATACAGAAATGCTTTTCCAGTTTTGGTTCAATAGTTAGTTACCATTATAAATTCATACAATGCACCTGCACTGCACCAGTATGATATGAAATATGGGAAATAATTAATTCCAAGTAAATTAATATTATTTATCAATGACGAAAATTATTATAATAATTCAATTTAATCGCGTGTACGTTTGCACTAATTTACCTTGTCATGTATTATAAACTTTTGAACCAATGAACCGGTGTAATAGATTTTGTGAATAATTGGAAACAAAATCTTTAAAGTCAGTATAACATGCATTATATATATATATATATATATATATATATACTAGCTGACCCGTTGTCCTGTACCCATGTCTACAATTCAAAAGTTCAATTTTTTTGTATTCTATACTAAGATTTGTCATTTAGTTAAACATATTCATTATTTTTTTACACTATAGTCTATACCCAAATGTATGTACATTAATGTGAGTGATGTTAAATGTAAAAGTGAATTAAGAAAAATGATTTGTCCTAATTTCTACAATTAAATTTCAATTATACAGTATATAACATATATCATACAGTAAAATTTCAAACAATGTTCATTACAATTGTATAGGCTTCAAAAATTTACACTACGTTTTTTTAGAACTAATTCACTTCCAATATTCTTTGTCAATTTTGTAAATGTTTATATAAATAAATTGTTTGGAACTCTAAATCTCGAAACCAGATTTATTTGGCCATGACTAAAATATTCTTCTAAAAAATTTTCTAAAATAAATTTGCTAATGTTCTCATGTGCCAAAATATTTTTACTGTCAAACAATATTATTTCTTGCAATTTTTTCCATTTATTTCTACAATATTACAATAGTTTTATAATTCATCACATCTTAAACATTTTCCTTAACAAGCTCCAAAAAGATTTATCAAAATTCGAATAATCGAGTAGGAGTATCAATTCATACATTATTACAGAAGATGAAGATGAAGAGAATTTCATACCAAATTCTGAAAATCTGAAAATAATTTGGAATTTGTTAATAATTTAATTTTGCAAGTATAATACTTTATATTATTATATTTATCTTTATCACATAACATTTGTTACATTCGAATATATTTGTTTCGTTTTGATTTTTTGAACTGTCGTTATTTTTATTTATGACTAAATGTAATATTTGGACTACAAATTATGATTTATAATAGTTTTGGTATTTTAATGAACTTATCTTAAATATTGAATGAATTTATTTCAAAGTTTCCAGAACAATTCACAGCTGTCAAAATTATTTGAAATTTTTATAAATCCAGTATGAAATCAGATTTTTAATATTGCCTAAAACCTAAGTTAGATATATAAACATACGTTGAGCCAAAAAAATTTAAAATCGGTTTACTAGTTTTGGAGTACATCCAGGACAAACATAAAACGAACTTTATATATATATATATATATATATATATATATATAATATATATATATATATATATATATATATAGATTTATATATATATATATATATATATATATAAAGTGTCAAATATGTTTCAACGTCGCAAAAGTTATATATAAATTTAAGAAAATAGGGTGGTCATTAATGTGGACATTTTTGATTTTCTTAAGTCGTAAGGGCTCAAATGCTTCCAAATTAATAAAAATAAAATCTCTAATAGTTTTAGCTCTTAATATTAACATTTATAGGCCGCACTTCAAATAAAAGTTTCGTATATTCATGATTAACATATGTCATTAACTGAATTCTTGCGCCATCTGTGATAGCAGACTTGTAATTTTGATGGCAATTTATAACTAATATTTTGAGAATTTACACCACCAATGAAATAAATATTTTGCTGCAAAATTAATTTTGATGCCATGATGAATAAATATTTCGTTAAACAGCCTACATAGATTTAATTAGAGGTTAAGTGAATTGTGAATATTTTTAAGTGTCATAATATTTGAGTTCACGAATGTTATCACAGATGGCACAAGAATGACATATGTTAATAATAAATATGTGAAACTTTTAATTCAAGTGCGATCTATATAAATGTTAATATTAAGAACTAAAACTATTAGAGAATTTATTTTTATTCATTTGGAAGAATTATGAGCCCTTGGGAGCAACGAAATTCGAAAATATCCATATCAAGGACCACCTCAATATATATATATATATATATATATATATATATATATACAAGTATGTATATATTTCCAATATTGGCTAAATTCATCCATCAGCCACAAGATAACAAGACACTACGTCAAAGTGAATACATTAGACGACGCGTCTAATGTATCTCCTTGAATTAGATTCGATGTCAAATTGAACAAACATAATTAATTAATTAAATATTAGTTTGATATATACACAAGACCTTTATAAATAACACTAATTCAGTTTGAGACAGTTCTTTTATTTACATTGACTTTTACTAACTCCAAATGAAAGTTTTGGTACTTATTCGATTAAACGAGTTACAAACTTGAGGATAGAAAAGTGAAAACTTTTCCGTTAACGTTTTAGTCCGCAATCTTAAACCAATTTTAAAATTTCAATATCTTTTCAAAAGATATCTGTTGGGAATCGCGTTGATTAGTTTTTGGTAAATATCGGTCTGACCGTTGTTATTGAATTTTAAAATATTTTTTGACGATTTCAATGAAACTTCGTATGACGATAGATTTCTTAATCTAACACTCATACAACTAGTTTTGTAATGTTTTTTATCCTATAACCCTGTTTCGGTTTGACATTGTGTTATGTAATATAGGTTCGTATAATCTATTACCGTTTATATACAAACCTATCATAATTATATTCCTATTACATCTGTAGCTTTACGCCACACATTCATCATCCCTCCGACCCGGGCGCCCTTCGACCCGGAAACAAGGCAACGCTTTGCGAACGCGTCATGCAAACATCACAAACGTCCAGATAGAAACAGAAACGTTTGCTCAGGACATTACACGGTTACACAGTTACAGAATTTCAGGCTTTGTATAACAAATGGGATAGAATGACGGACGGACAGCATATAGTAGTAGAACGACTCGCCTTATCATTTCTACTTGGCGTAATATAATATAATAAGGACGAAAACCCTTTGAAAAGCTTTATTGAAAATTATTACGGTCGTGATATCAAGCGAGCGAGAATCTTGACAACGAGGGAAGAAAACGTGCCGGTCGGCTCTGTTTGTTTTGTGCGAAACGCTAAACGGAATTGAATTCAAATATTATGTGGGATAAAAATTTACTGCTAAGAGAATAAACAGTACATCAGTGTTTTTTAATTATATGAATTATTTTTGAGAAAATTCAATATTCAAATAATTTTAAAAATTGTTTCTATTATTTTCAGGCTGGTGCGACCTTCCTGGTGTTGACCTGTGCCAATTTGGCAGGAATTTTTACACATTGGCCAAGGGAAAGGGCTCAAAGACAAGCTTTTTTGGAAACCAGGCAATGTATTGAAGCACGATTGACGACTCAGAGAGAAAACCAACAACAGGTAATAAAAATAATTAGAACAAGTTGTGCATGGCATAGTGCGTTAAGGAAAATTGCTGGAACTTGCCGTACCGTAAACTATATTATTAAAGAAACTCTGCAAAACTTTGAAAATATTAGATTTTAGAGAAATTTTGACATTTTTGACATTTTTCAGAAATTTTGACATTTTTGAGAAATTTTAACATTTTTGAATAAAAAAACTTTTTTGAATTTTTTTTTATTTGAACTTTTTTTTAAGCAATCGCTCTGCATAGCTGATTTCGAGTCAGAATATCAAAGCGCGTAAGCGCCGCGTCGCCGTCTAACGGATAAACAATGGTACAGAACCCATAGGAACGTAAACAAAATTTATACTTATTGTTAAAATCTCTATAAAATATCTGATAATTTGATGTGCATATGCCTAATGATAATTTTTGACCGCCAAATGGCATTATTTTTTACTTTTTTTATTGGATCTCCGGAGATGCTGAACCTGCCTTTACAAAAATCTCACCAGTTGTTCATTTCGTCAATTTAAGTAAAATGTTTTTTGAATTATTTAAATAGGACGCTCCGTTATTTTAAAAATAAAATACCATTTTTGGCACTTTTTGTCCCGTTTCTCCGAAACGGCTAGACCTGCCTTTGCCAAAAACTAATCGGCACGTCTCCTTATCAATAGAAATTAAATGTTTTTTGAATAATTCAAATCGGTTGATTCGTGCACTCGAAATCGTCGACGAAAATTTGTATCCGCACACACACACATACATACATTTTTTTAAGGTATGCCAAAATGTTCAGAAACCTCTGAATCGTGAAGATATATAAAAAATTTCATTTTCGATTTGTTTGCAATTACTATAATTTACCCTGCGGGAAGTTAATAAAAAATAAGTAAAATGTATCTATAGTGAGTCGTGCAAAAATCTCAAAATTTATCAGACATTCGGAATATTTAACATTAGAAATTTTATGCAACTTTTCTCAAGACAAAGGACTACTGATTAATATCTGGTTTATTTAAAATGACTTTTATTAAAAAATCTTTGTTCCCAGTCGTAAAATCGTGTTTGAATTTCGTGCCCAATCTGTTATTCCAGTTTTATCTGTTTTACACACCTTTTGTATGAATATCGTAAAAATTAAATAAACCTGACATATTTTTTTCGAGCAAAAAATATTTCTAATTACCGTTGTTTGACTAAAGTTTTCGCTTTTCAGATTTATTGCAGCGAAAGAATTTTTTTAATGAACTCGCTTTAGAGATAAATAACTACTACAACGATCCTGCAAACAAAAGAGATTTTACAATGCACAAAAAATGTACGGGAATGCGAAGTAAAAAGATTGAATTAATTAGAATAAATGAAATTAAACGTAGAACAAATATGCTATAACAGTGTTTTTGTATTTTTCCCAAAATCCATCAAATCATTATAATAAAAGTCTTCAAACGTCTAGTATTTTTTTATTATATCATTTTGTGATTCAGTTGAAAATATTTTTTATACAAGTTTATAATGTTCTCATTTCATTTATTTAATTTAATAAGGTATATTTTTTTCATATCATATTTATGAAAATCTTATCTAGAATTAAACCTACGGGTGAATTTACGTGCTTAAGTTAGTGGCGACCTCTATGGAGTCGGAAATCAATTAAAATTGAAGTAAAGACAAAGCGCTTGTGTTTGCGATCAATTTCTTCTAAAATTGCATTACAATTTATCCAGTTTTACCCGTCTTTCCCTTATCCTCAATACAAAATGCTTGATTTATTATAACAGAGACGAGCAGCTAGAAATTATTTTCTCCATTTTTCATATATTGTCTGTATTTTTAATTAATTTTATGTTGAACTGTTGAAAAACTTTCATTTCATATTAAACGGTACGAGCAGAGTGTATTTTTATTGAAGTTCTCATGGACGAATTTCATGCAAAATTCATTTTGATGAATGTATGAGTTTATTTTGTACATACGAAAATATACATACACAGAAAAGTTTTTTATTGTAAATTGTAAAAAATGTTTTTTGTGGTTTCTACAAATACAAGCAATAATGTAAAGAATATTAATTTAATAAATATTATTAATTTTTATATAATATTTTATTTATTTGTTGTATTGTTTTAAATCAAATATGAATTTATTTACTACCTCGAATTATTATTTTGAAATGAAAGTAAATTTTATTAAAGATGATTAAATTTTGTTAAACAATTTATGAAGCCATAGCGCGATAATGTTTGTGGAACAAATTAAATAAGTTAAATTATTAAAAGCAACGATTTTTAGAATTTTGAAATAAAATATATTGTTAACTTTTCTCGTGGTATTCATATTATTTTGTGCAGAATTCATGTTATTTTTTGAGCAATTGGCAACCAAATACAATTAGTCAAAAGTTTTTTTTGCACCTTCAGAACAGTTTACCGCTTTTGGACAAAAGTTTATTAGGCTCAAAATAAAATATAACTAAAACCTACGAATTTATTATTAAATAATCACAATATTTATATTATTTAAAATTTTTTTCTTTTTAGGAACGACTTTTATTATCAGTTCTTCCTCGACATGTAGCAATGGAAATGAAGGCTGATATTGCAGGACAGCCTAAAGAAGCACAATTTCACAAAATTTATATACAAAGACATGAAAATGTTAGGTGAGTAGGTGTAAAATTTATTTATAACAATATTAGAATTAATATTAAAAAATGTATTTAAATTTTTCAGTATTTTGTTTGCTGATATCTGTGGATTTACAAGTCTCTCGGATCAATGTACTGCTGAAGAATTAGTTCGGTTGTTGAATGAACTTTTCGCAAGGTGAGATAAATATTTATGTATATATATATATATATATATATATATATATAATAGGTTGTCAAATATCTCCCTTCCGCTTTTTGTATGGTTTATAATACAAAAAGGCGGAAGGAAGATATTATATATACGTATATATATATATATATATATATATATATATATATATATATGTTGAAAGTGTTTAAATTTGATGTTGAAATGTATGATTGATTTCTTGAAGGGTGTAACATCAAGTAAAAAATATAAATAAGTAAAGATTTTTTAAAACATATTTATTTTTCCATACGTTTCGACGTAAAATTCTACGTCATTGTTAGTGGTTCTACAATTTTGAAAAAAACAGAAAGTAATATTAAAAATTGAATGTACATAAGCAATAGCAAAAAGAAAAAGATTTAACTAAAGAGACAGACTAATTATATCTAAACCTTAAAATAAAAAATGCATAAAACATTACTTACTTGAATTTCTTAGATTATCACTTACACAAATTAAGGACACTTCTGTAGTCAGTCTTTTTAGTTAAATCTTTTTCTTTTTATTATTGCTTATGTATCTTCAATTTTTAACATTACTTTCTGTTTTTTTCAAAATTGTAGAACCACTGACGATGACGTAGAATTTTACGTATGGAAAAATAAAAATGTTTTAAAAAATCTTTACTTATTTATATTTTTTACTTTAATATGTATTACCTGTTTTTAGGCTTAAATTAAATAGTAAACATACTTATAAAAAACAAAAGTAAATACTAAAATATCTTTTGCAACATTAATAGGCATTGCTAGTGAATTGGGCTTATAATTAAAAATGGTATTAATTCTTTATCCTTTTATGCGTATATACCGCACTTCAACGTTCACAATCAGTTCTATACTATAATTTTTCTAGAAATATTTCTTATGGTTTGCCGGGCCAGCTAGTATACACGTATGTGTCTGTATAATGTGTGTGTGTGTAATCTATTAATAGACATTTATCTTTTCATTATAGATTTGATCGCTTGGCTGCCGAACACCATTGTCTTCGTATAAAGTTACTGGGCGATTGTTACTATTGTGTTTCCGGGCTTCCGGAGCCTAGACCGGATCACGCCCATTGCGCCGTCGAAATGGGCCTCGATATGATTGATGCCATCGCGTAAGTAAATTAATATTTTGATAATAATTAGAAACATTATTTTATTTAATGCATGTATGTTTAGATCATTAATTTTTTACTATTAATTAGAATCTTTATCTTAAGTAAAAAAAATATGTATATTCAAGATGAAGTTCAATGTCTTCGATGTCGACAGTACGGGTTAAACAATTCGTATTGCACGAGAAAAAATTTATTTGTACTGATTTTTTGAATTGTCGATTGGTTTTTGGGTAAAGCAGGTCCACCTATTTCGGTGGTACTGTGCAAAAATTATTGGCGGTTTTCATTTTGCAATAAATGATTAATGCTAGATTTTTTCAATAGCTGTAATTTGATTGAACTCATCGATTTAGTTGCAGTCATTAATTGCATAAACGAATATTTTTATTGTTGCTAAATATATATATATATATATATATATATATATACGAGTTAAAAAATTGGGCGTTACATCAATCAAAATAGTATGAAAGTTTTTAAAAATTTCTTTAAAATCCATACGTTTTGGCTAGCATCTTAGCCTTCATTCAGTGGCAATCAACCTGACTATAAAAATTAAAACTAAATAAATAATATGTACGAAATTTTATAGAAAAATAAAAATTATAATAATAATAAAACACTTACAATTTTGTATCCTGATAATACATATGAAACCATTATTGATCCATGGTATGAGTATGTGCACATTGATAAAATATATATTTTTTAACTTCACAGATGGTAAAACACACAAATAAACATGATAACTTAACAAGTTGTCGATTCTATATATTTACTGATCGGAGTTTTGGATGAAAAATGGTTTTTCATTTTTTATAGTGTCTACCAATCAATACTAATATTGATCATTAGAATTTTAGTTTATTTATAATTACAAATTATAAATCTTTTCAATGAATTTAATACCGTTTATACATATTTGTTATATTTAAATAACTTATGAAAAAGATTCAAAAATATTTCTTAAACAGACTAAGTATCACGATTCGCTTGCTGTTCTTACGTAATTTTGTGTGAATTGAACCAATTCCGTCATGTGTATGAAATTTGCATAACACGTCGAGAAGATAATAAAACTAGAATTTCTGGAAGGAAATTTAATCATAAATTATTTTCTTGCCGACTGCTTAAATAAAATCATATATATGAACTTGTCATTTGCACGGGGATTTGAATTTTATGTGATCAGATGAAATGCAGACAATGGACACTTGAGTAAGTTTGGTTTTAATATAAAACCAGACATGTTTTATACCAAAATTGGGATAAGTATGTGTGTGTGATTCTATATGAGACAATTCAACATTTCTATCATAAAATTTAAGTGGCGAAATGAAAAATAAATGCAACTCTGCAACTGATGATAAACTAAAGCTAATTAATATTATCCACTTGCCCATTATTTTATATTTTGCTAGTTCATAATTTGTTAGTTTACTGTGACTTATTTACCGGGCTTGTTGTATGTAAATTTCGTTTAAATTTTCAACATTTAATAACAAAAGCATGAAGTGAACTTTTCAAACTGCTGCACAATAATAGAATAGTTGAGCGTTGAAATTCATCTCGAATTGTATTTGCGCTCAGGGAACCATAAATATCTCAAGTTCGCTGTTGAAAATTTGTCGTACTAGGATTATAAATTATTAACAACTTTGTTAGGTGAGATCAGAATGAATTATTTGAGATAAAACTAAAGTTAAACTTGTTCAAATATAATAAGCATTATTCTAATTAGGCTTCTTTGGATAAACATAATGATTTCTATCTTGCAATAGTAATGATGCATCTTCGAATAAAATATTATTCTAGAAATCTTCAATGCATATAATAAAATTTTCGAGACAAACTTTGGGGATAATTTTCTTGAGAATAACTTTTTATTAAATTTTCTGAGAATAACTTTTTATTAAAAATGGTTTACGGTTCTTTATAACCTAATATTTTTTCGTTAACCATCTAAAAAACAAAATATTTACAATCAAAGAACTCTTCAAAACTTGCAAATTCTTGGCATCACATTTAAGGCTTTGATGAACAAGATTTTAATTTACTACCCTTGGATGTTTAAATATTTAAGTTTTGCTTTTAATCGACTCGATTTAACAACAACGATTTTGTTTGAATAACAACGACTCGATCTAACAATAACTCGATTTACCATAAGCTTGACCCAACAACGATTCTATCTAACAACTCGATTTTTAACAATAACGACTCCAATTGAACGACAACGACTCGATTTGAACAACAACGACTCGACTTGAACAAGAACGACTCGATTTTTAACAAAATTGCAATTTGACAACAAATACTCGATTTGACAACCACGACTCGATTTTTAACATTGACTTGATTCTAAGCATCAACTCGATTTTAAGCAACGACTCGATTTAAAGCAATGACTCGATCTGACGCCAACTCGATCTGATGTCAACTGGATCTGACGTCAGCTCGATCTGACGCCAACTCGATCTGACGCCAACTCGATTTACCATAAGTTCGACTCAACCAACAACTCGTTTTTTTAACAACGACTCGATTTTTAACAACTACTGCATTTTTGGCAACTACTCGATTTTTAACAACTACTCGATTTTTAACAACAACTCGATTTTTAGCAACGACGACTCGATTTTCTTAGCAACAACAACTCCATTTTTAGCGGCAACAACTCGATTTTTAACTGGATTTTTAATAACAACTCGATTTTTAACAACAACTCTATCTAACAACAACTCTATCTAACAACAACTCGATTTTTACCAACTCGATTTTTAGCAACGACGATTAGATTTTCTTATCGACAACAACCCGATTCTTTACAACTCGATTTTTAATAACAACTCGATTTTTAACAACAACTCGATTCTTAACAACAGCTCGATTTTTAACAACAATTCGATTTTTAGCAACGACGACTCGATTTTCTTAGCAACAACAACTCGATTCTTTACAACAACTCGATTTTTAACAACTGGATTTTTATTAACAACTCGATTTTTAACAACAACTCTATCTAATTACAACTCTTTCTAACAACAACTCTATCTAACAACCACTCGTCTTTTAACAACGACTCGATTTTTAACAACTACTTGATTTTTAACAACTACTCGATTAGAACAACAACGACTTGATTTTTGATAACGACTCGATTTTCAACAACGACTCGATTTAACAAAAACGACGATTTGATTTAACAACAACGACTCGATTTTTAACAACGACCCGATTTGACAGCAACTCGATTTTAACAAGGACTCGAATTGAACAACAAGGACTCGATTAGAACAATGACGACTAGATTTTTAACAACGACCCGATTTGATAGCAACGACGACTCGATTTAACAACGACGAGTCGATCTAATTTCAACTCGATCTAACTTCAACTCTATCCGACAACAACTCTATCCGACAACAACTCTATCGGACAACAACGCTATCCGACAACAACTCCATTTTTAGCAACAACTCAACGAACTTAATATTAAAAAATTGAAGGACCAATGTTATGGCAAGACTATGTAACTATAACTATAACTATAACTTTCCATACTAAATATCGACAAAAGCCATGTGCTTGGTGTGCAGTCAGGTGCTTTTCTCAGGTTTTCCGAAAAAAAAAACAAACCTAGAAACTCCATAAATGACAAAAAAACAATCTTAGATAACAGGGTTTTTAATAACATACGAGTGACGTTGCAGTTTATGTGTAAAACGCCAGAATGCACTGCAAATACATGACATGATTTAGTAGCGTAATGTATGCAAGTTTGAGCGTAACATGGCCTTGCCATAACATTGGTCTGCTATGCGTCAGAATCGGTCCCTAAATTGTCAGAAATAAATAAAACTAGTAGTAGTAGTAGTAGTAGTATAATAATAAATAAATAAAACTAGTTCATGCATGATTTTTTTCCTGTAATGATAATTAGTATCACATTGATATTACAGATTAGTCCGAGAGGTGATGGCAGTGAACGTCAACATGAGGGTCGGCATTCATACCGGCCGTGTTCATTGCGGTGTTTTGGGTTTAAGAAAATGGCAATTTGATGTTTGGTCAAATGATGTCACATTGGCCAATTATATGGAAAGTGGAGGAATACCAGGGTGAAAATACAATTATAAATTTTCCGCAAAAAACTTCAGTAAAATATTACTTAACAATATTTTTCTTGCAGACGAGTTCATATAACTCGAGAAACTTTGCAATGTCTTGATGGTGATTACGAGGTTGAAGAAGGTCATGGTGGTGAAAGAAATGGTTATTTAAAGGATCATAATATTCAAACCTATTTAATTGTACCTGGAGATACCTACAGACAACAGGTAAATTGTAAAAAAAATTTATAAAATAAATTTAATACGTCAGGAAAAAAACATTTTTGGTACGTTCAATTATTTTTCTAATATTCGAAGTAAAGATAAATTATAAATAATTCATATGGGGTATGTTTAAATAATTGAAGTATGTATACTTTTATGTCAACTATGAGCATAAATCAGCAGTAATTTATTTAAATTTCTTCTACTTTTAATTTTCAATTTTATTCCAAATTACTCTTTTTATACCTCCGTATAAATTATGGTGAAATGAATTTTCTTCAACATAAGTTGTGCCGACACGAATCACATTTATACGTACTATAGATGTGTAATTTGCGTATAAATTAGGCCATTACCGAGACCGACATTAATAAAAATCGAATTTTCTTTTCAGGAAAACAAACCGCAACATTCGTTCTCGATGAATGGAAATATTTCAAAGGAAATGCGAATGATGGGCCATGGGTCGCAGCACGGGAAAACTACTTCCAAGTAAATATGAAAAAAAATTAGAAAAAATAGCTTATGTTATCACGGAATGTCCTTACGTCCGGAATGTACTCCTAAACTACTGAATTGATTTTAAATTTTATTTGCTCGTCGTGTGCATTTATATCCAACTTAGGTTATAGGCAATATTTAAAGTCTCAGCTTATATTCGAAGTATTAAAGTTTTAGAAATTTCAATTAATTTTGACAGCAAAAAAACACTATGAAATGACAGTTGTCAGTTTCTGGAAATATATATATTATATAAATTATACTTATTTAATATCTAAATTATTTATATATTATATAAATTGATACGACAAGGTTCCAAAAATACTATAAATCACAATTTACAACAAAATATTTCATTATAATAAATTTTATAATTATAATTATTTCTGATAGAAATAATCTTAATAAATTTAAAATGAAATTTTTAACAAAGATGTAATAAATTGGAGGAGTTAATTCTCGGATGAAGTAGAAATGTTATGAGTCTTTGTTATGTCTTTGCTGTTCGATTGACTCTATTTTTTTAATTTTTTTCTATTTTTTATTTTTTAGGTTGGGTTTTGGAGAACCTCCTGGTGAAGACAAAGATCCTGAAGATGAAGTAAATGAGTACCTAATGAGAGCAATTGATGCCCGAAGTATAGATCGTCTGAGAGCAGAACATTGTCAAACAATACTTTTGACTTTTAGGCAGAAGGAAGTCGAAAAAAAGGTAGGAAATATTTTAGTGAAAATAATATTTATATACAGAGTCAAACAAATATGTAAGAGAATTAAGCGAGGAATCTCCCACTTGATGATTGAAAAAAAAGGCCATACGATCTTAAGTAAAATGTCAAAAAAATATAAAAAGAGATATTTCTTAGGAGATAATTTTTTAAACGCATTTACGCCCAGCATATTAAAAAAAACATATTATTTTGATTGGCAAATAAAAAAAAATATACAGAGTGACCTTGACATCAAACGGATACGAAGTGATAGTATTGATCTTGATTGTCTTGAAAAAATTAGAGAAAAAATATCTCATGCTCTAAGGAAATTATAAGCTTTTAGGTGCATTCTTTGGTGAAATTATGACTAATTTTTTGGTAGTGCAGTTAAATTTAGATAATTTTGTTTGAAACCATAACTGTAATAACAGTTCTAAGACCACAGTACAAAAATACAAAATTTGCTCCAAGTTTGCAAGAATTAAGATTTTTTGTTGAACTATAAATTTAAAAATTTTAATATCGGTCAACATTAAAGGTTGAGGCTCTCTTTAAAAAAAATGTACTAAAGTGTGTTGGAAAGTTTTATCAAAAGTTGGAGTGGATCTGATTTTCAAGGGTCAGGACTAAGAGCAACCTAGAAAAAAAAGGAAAAAAATATTGTTGTTTGGAAATTATGAGCTTTCACATGCATTCTAAAGCTTTGGTAAAATTTTGACCAATTTTCGGTTATTGTGGTTAAATTTTAATAATTTTGTTTGGAACCGTAACCATGAATAACATTTCTAGGATCTCAGTACAAAAATACATCATTTGCTCCAAGTTTACAAAAATGAAGACTTTTTCTTGTACTATAAATTTTAGAACTTTTAAAATTGATCGACTTTGCTTTAAAAAATGTATTTAAGTTTGTTGGTAAGTTTTATCAAAAGATAGCGTTGATCTGATTTTCAAGGGTTAGGACTAAAGCAACCTAGAGGAAAAAAATATTCGAAATTATGAGCTTTCACGTGCATTCTAGAGCTTTCGTGAAATATGACCTATTTTCGGATATTGTGGTTAAATTTTATTAGTTTTGTTTGGAACCATAACCAAGTATAACATTTCTAAGACCACAGTACAAAAATACTTCATTTGCTTCAAGTTTGTAAGAATTGCCTTTTGTTGAACTATGTATTAAATTTTTTCAAACTTTGAGAGGTCATTCTGTAAAAAATATATACTGAAATGTGTTGGTACATTTTATCAAAAGATGGCGTTGATCTTTTTTAGAATTAGGATTATGGTCGACTATTAATAAGATCATAACTTTCTTATTTAATTAAAAAACTAATCAGCCATAAAATTTATATAATTTTCTTTTAACAGCAACGATTTACCTACCATATAATTTACAGGAATTATTATTATAATGTCAAAGCATCTTATTAATTATACAATTTTATTTTTTTTTATTTCATTTTCAATACAAATTTGAAATTTATAATAATAAAACTGTAATATACAATAATTGTAATTCAACTATTATTTCTTTGTTCTTCTAATTAAAATTAAAAATAAATTTTACTATTCATAAAATTGAACACTAAATAAATTCTGTCAAAAGCTAAGTTTGCCGGTAATTTTTTACAGAATATTCACGAACCGGTTGCAACAGGTTTTTCGGTAAAAATACTATTCGAAAACCGGTTTTCTGAAATTAGGTTTTAGAATGAACCCTATTTACCACATACTTTAAAGGTAATTTTATTACAAATGCCAAAGCATCTTCTTATTAATTAAACAACTTCATTGTTTTTTCAATGTTTTCATATTTAATTATTATCTCTTTTTTTATTTTTTGACATTTTATTTAAAATCGAATGTTTTTTTTTTGTTCTGCTTAGTTGGTTCAGGATTTGTTTCATTTTTAATTTTGTATACTGGATATCGAAGCGTATTTCCATACCGGTAAAAATTTTCGATTGCTTTTAGAACTTGAAAGACTAGTCTTTCTCAATCTCAATTAAGACAAATTTAACAAAATTTGTTTTCCTGACTTTCAAACGAAATGTCTTTTTATCGATCTTGTATTTGTTGCTTTTTTTCAGCATTCAGTATCACGGTAAAAAAATCTGATAATTTTGTAACGAGATTTAACAACTACATATTTTACAAGTAAATTTATTTTAACACACAATTTTATTAAAAACTCTAAAGTTTTTGTAAATAATAATTTATTTCAAATTCATAATAACAATAACATAATAAATTTAAAAAAACTCACATTTTTTATAAAAATATATCTATAATGAAGTCGAAGAACTTCTTCCTCGGTTTTAATTTAGTTACTTACTAGACTTAAAATTTTAATACTTTTTTTCTGATTATGCTTTTTTAATTCTTTTATTTTGTATTTTTTCATCCTACTTAGTTGGTTCAAGATTTGTTTCATTTTTAATTTTGTATACTGGATATTCAAGGGTATTTCCATTCCGGTAGTTGCATGCCACAAGAGTATAATTAAACATCATATTATAATCATCATCATGTTTTTATAAGTACTGACAGCACATCCTACTTTTGTTGTATTTCCCCAGATTAATTGGGTATAATGTCCAATATCTTTACCACTAAAATAAAAATTTTGTCACAATTAGTAAAAAAGATATTTATACTTGTAAGTTAGTAGATATTAGGGTTTGGCGGTTTTCAAAAGCCGGTTTTAAAAACCGTTTTTTGGCGAAAATTATGGAGTTCGAGAACCGGGTTTTAGTGAAAAAACCGGTTTTCACTGTATAAATGGAAAATGACATATATAGCCAAATAGAAAAGATAGATGTAAGCGTTTTGATTCTTGAAATCATATCAGTTCAATAGCATTTGATATCTTATCAGTCTTCAATGGTTCCCAGAAAGGTTTTGTTTATATTAATTAGAATTTTATACCACTGTACATATTAATTTAAATCAGTGTGACTTCTTTTTGAAGAAGTAACTTCCTCTACTCAAACTTAAAAAAATGAGTTTGAAACGCTAGAAGTCACAAATAAAAGAACAAAAAACTTAGAATTATTATATCAGGCTTTAAAAACAATTAAGCATAATTTGGTCGCAACTAAGAGAGTATTTTCTATTTCAGGAAATTTTGTGAGTAAACAAAGGACATGTCTAAGTAGCAATTCAATAGACGTTCTCAGTTTTTTGAAATCATATTTTATTAAGGGGTTACATGGGTTTCGCGGTTTCAAAAAATCAAAAAAAATTTTTTTATCTTATTAAATTCTATAACATCTCTATAATTTTGTCCTAAATTTTTAAGTTGATACGACTAATAGTTTCGGAGATACAGCCTTGAAAAGGTAGACGCTTGAGGTGCGCCTTTATTGTGTCTTAAAACTTTAAACGCGTTTTTCTGAAAACTATGTTTTCAAAGACGGTTGTCAACTGATCTTGATGAAATTTTACACAGGTTTTCAAAATATCGTTTACAAGGTATTGAACGAAGTATTTTCTTTTTGTATAATTACAATTATTTAAAAAAAAAAGAATGTCAAGAAATTTTCATCGAAATTTGCATTTTTTTTATAAAAACGTCTGCCAAAAATCCAATTTTCATTTTTTTCTTTTTTCCTTCGTCCAATACCTAGTTTATTGTCTTTACTAAAACACGTATTTTTTATTTTTCGGATAATCCTGATATGAAAGAAGTTCTGCTGATGCACTTTTTTCGAGGGACTGCCATTTTCGTAATGACCGCCATTTTGATTTTTTTTTTGAAAATTTTACAAATGTTTATTGAATATGTAT